ACTCATAGAGAGAGATTGATGATGACAACGATGTTGGTAAAGATGACGACGAAGAAGATGATGAAAATCATGGCTCTGAAAATAAAAATGACGATCACGTTCTTGTTGATTGCGACTAAGTCATTATGTTTACAACGAAAGGTATGGTGATAATGTGATAAAGACGATGTTGACGACGATTATGATGAGTTTGATGAAGATGTTGATAATGATGATGATGAAAGGAACTATTTCTTCAAAATAGCAATAAGCTTCAGTTCATTTTTTCTTATAAAATACATTTCATTAGCTAGGTGTCAGTATGAATGGAAAAATCCTCCTTTATTTTTCAATCATTAAAACATTCAATTGAAATAAAATAAAACAAATATATGATATTATCATTATTTAAAATCACAAATAAATAAATATAAATTATAAAAAAAATATTAACACATCAGAGAGCTATCAAATAATTTTCTCAGAAAAAAGCAACCCTACACTAAAAGACACGAGACCTTCAATCGTCCTCCAAGCTCAAATAATCAGCTGTGTGGGTGGAGTTTGCATAAATTATGCAAATTAGTTTCAAGTTTTCATTGAAGAATATATAGAATACACACATTTACAAACATATATTGAATATATACCCATGTATACACCGAACACACACGAATACGCACACATATACACACACACTTGTCAAATGTTTGTAAATGAAAAGGATTAAATAGAGAAATTGTTTGCTAGTGTCACTGAGTTATCAAGATGCACGTGTGAGCATGGTTAATTATTCAAAACGAGGCGATATTTTATTTTGATTTTGGCCCGCTAGATTTATTTTTCATCTAATTTTCAATTCGACATCGTGTAAGTTCTAAAGCAATACTTGATTCTCGATCATCATCATGGTAAAAGGTTGGTGAACTTTTTTGCGAGTGAATGAGTTTGTTTGAATGTTTGTTTGTTCGTTTGTATGTTTGTGTGTGTATGTTTATGTGTGCATATGTTTGTGTGTGTGTATGTGTGGGTATATAATTGTGTATGTTTGTGTTGTGCGTGTGTTGTATTTTGAACCATGTGATTGAACCATGTTAAGGGGTATGAGGCCTAGTTTGTTCACCCTCAATTCATCCATTCATTCATTCATTAAGTCATTCATTTATGCGTTCGTTTGGTCATTCATTAGTTCGTTCATTCAATCGTTTAATGGTATTCTTTCTTTCTTTCTTTCTTTCATTCATTCTTTCTTTCCTTAGTTCATTTATTTTAAATTTTTATTAATTCAGAGCTTCACTCCTTCGCTCATCCCCTGTACCATCAGTCATTCGATTCATAATAATAATAATACTAACATAATAAATAAAAGTAATAATAATGAAATAATATAATAATAACAATAACAATGATAATAGTAATAGTAATAATAATAATAATAATAATTTACTTTTTAAAAGCAATGCTTGGTGTTGCTCACTCGTCTATTTACTGGCATTGCAGATTTTGACGATGTTGATGTAAGATTCGCTGATTGTTTCACATAATAATAATAATAATAATAATAATTATTATTATTTTTATTATTATCACAACAACAACAACAGCAACAATAATAATAATAATAATAACACTAACAACAATAATAGGATGTTCTTATCTGAAAAGCAAACAAACACACCGAATGAACTAAAGAATGGAATCGAATGCATGCAACGTTATGACTGTTATTATCATTATTATTGTTGTTATTATTATTATTATTATATTATTATTAGGAAAATTTATATAGCGCCTCTTGCGAAAAAAAATTTCTCCAAAGCTCCTTCAATCGTTAAAGAAATAAAAAACCAACGCAATATCCTGAGCTATTACATCAGTGACTACAACGATTAAAACAATTCCAAACTATAATAATACACAATCATCATCTCTCTCTCTCTCTCTCTGTCTCTCTCTCTGTCTCTCTCTGTCTCTCTCTCCTTTCTTTCTGTCTCTCTCTCTCTCTCTCTGTCTCTCTCTCTCTCTCTCTCTCTCTCTCTCTCTCTCTCTGTCTCTCTCTCCTTTCTTTCTGTCTCTCTCTCTCTGTCTCTCTCTCTGTCTCTCTCTCTCTCTCTCTCCTCTCTCTCTCTCTCCTCTCTCTCTCTCTCTCTCTCTCTCTCTCTCTCTCTCTTAGAACATGATGTTACTAGATGTTACTAACATCGAGCTGAACACAGACAAGGTCACACGTGATATGTTTGGTATTTTTTAAATTTCGGTAATGTTTTATCTTTAGTATTTTTTTTATTTGTTGTTTGGTATTGTTTTATCTTTGGTATTTTTTTTTGTTTCAGTGTGTTTTTTTGTCCTTTAAATAGGTCATTTGGTATTTTTCAGGTATTTGTGTATAAGCAGCATTACATACCTTATGAAATGTGCACAGCACACACTAACATACAAACATATACACACACACATGCATACATACAAACTTATACACACATACAGACATACATACAGTAATACTCAAAAACGCAAACAATTAGAGACACAGAAACACATATATACAAACATATATACTTAATACAGCCCAGACAAACAAACACCACATACACACACGTGCAAACATGCATAAAAACTCATACAAACATACAACCAACGAACCAAACAAACAAACATAACTTCCTACCTACGTAAAAAAAATTTAGCTATCTAGACCAGAATACCAAATATAAACAAACAAAAGCAATATCACAGAACCCAAAAAACCGGTTCTCAGGTTAATTCATTTTTTTTTTAAAATAAAAACAATATTGAACAAACATCACTGATTAGGTAATATGCAAACGTTTGAAAGGCGCACACAAACACACACACACAAAAACACACCTAGACATACATACACAAACAAACACACACTAGAAAACACCTATACACACATACATATAATCGCACATTCACCTGCAAGCATGTACACATATACATTCACACACACACACAAACAAACACACACATGCATACATACATACATACATACACGCAAACAAACATACAAACATTTATACATACAATAATTGTAATGATGGTTACGTGTATGTGTAATTGTAATTAAACGCTTTACGTTAAAAGGTACAGACACTCGAGACTACAGGATTCTTATTAATCATTTCCTTGAATCTTTAATCTTTATCGTAATTATTACTAATCAATAATAATAATAATAATAACAATAATATAATAATAATAACTAAAATTTGTATTATTACTATTATTTATGGATATATTTTACTCTGATTAATATATCACCGTTATATACTTCCTCTTCATCTCATATTATATATTTATATTATATTATATATACACACGTACATACATGCATACAAACAAACAAACAGACATACCTACACACATACATACGCAGATACATACAAACATACATACACATATACATACATACATACCTACTTACAATAATTCATTCAGTTACTTTTCAACAATGTGATTATTGTAGTGATTATTGCACGGCCTGTGTGTTATATATGTTTTGTTTATGTGTATGTTTGTATGCATGTATGTATGTATGTACGTATGTATGTATGTATGCATGCATGAATGTATGTATGTATGTATGTATGCATGTATGTATGTACGTTTGTATGTATGTTAGTGAAACTATGTAAGTATATATAACGAAAAAATCTATTATATTACAACAATATTGCAGTTGATTTTAGTAGAGTAGCTTAACATGAATAAATATAATTTCATTGTAACAAATTGCAAAGTACGGTTTACGTTGGTTGAGTTTTTGTTCATTCGTTCGTTCGTTCGTTCGTACACTCATTCATTCATTCATACATTCATTGACTGTTTATTATCATTGTAATAACTTAATAACTTATAAATCAATGTATGATTTATAAACTTATAAATCTTTGGGGTCACATTACATTATTTATCCATTTATTTATTATTTAACTTTAATTAGCTAAATGATTAATTGATTAATTAATTTATATGGTTTAATTATAATAGTTTAATTTAATTAATTAAGTTGCGATTTTTTCCCAAAACAGATTCCCACCATTTTTCAAAACGAACTCACGGACAACTTACTAGAGCCAAGATTGATTTTTTAAATTCAAAAATTTAAAAACTTTCTCGAAAAAAATTTATCCTTCGTTTGTGTCTAAATTGAACAGAATGAATAACTCAATTAATTAAATGTTTAACTAATTGACTAATTAATGGGTAAATAGTTGAATTGAATCCGTGTCTAGTGTTTTGATAAGTGTCTTAAAGAATAATTAATAAGAGCTAACGCAGGTGAACATGTTTTTGTTCAAATGCTGCACAAACCACACGTCTGAATCAAGAAGATCAAACATCTCACCTTTCAACACGCATAGAAGACCTCTTCAAATTTTCATCAAAACGTCAGTGAAGGCGGTCGCCAATTCCCCAGTAGACGAAACAACTAAAGACGAAAACCTAATTAGTTGTCGTGGTAATGTTAGTGATTCCAACAGAGACTTAATTGCTGGTGTTGTCGCTGGGAGTTCTTATGATCCGGATTTAGACAAGGAGTTAGGGATTAGTGTAGACATCAATGGAAATCCATTAACTCCCGAGGAACATTCAAACATTGGTAGCAGCCTCGAAATTGAAAAGAATGGAGACAATACCAATTGCCAATTAGTGTTTCATGAAATTGATAAAAAAAGTGCTGACGGTAAAATTTTAAATAGAATTGAATCTTGTGTGATAGATAAGCCTGCAGATCGATCGCCAGCCTCAACGCCGCTGGCAGCATCGGCAACGACGACGAAACTTAAAAAGAATCGTCATTTTACGTTTTCTCGGTTCGGTGTTACCGATCACGCTGTAAACAAAAACCACCACCACCAACCTCATCATCTTTTTCATCATCACCACCATCATCATCGTCCTCACTCATCTACTCATTTCACAAACAGCTGCATTGCCTTTATAACGGAAGATAACAAAATCAAAACGTCTCTTATTAAAAGCAAAACGTTCGACCCTGCACCAACTACAACAACATCAGCATCATTATCTTCGTCATCAGCATCACCAACAACATCAGCATCACCAACATCATCATCATCACCAACAACATCATCATCGTCACCAACATTATCAACTACAAATCAAAAATTCATAACGAAACATTTAGAACCGTATAAAGTTAGTAAAAGAATAACTACCAATGGTCACAACTCAACAGATGCAAACCCTGGATGCTGTCAAAACAGTTTAGACATATGTAACAATTCACATCTCATTGCATCACTCGATGAGGATTTGCGTCGACAAATATTTTCTTCTGACATCTGTGATAGAGAAATTTTGAATTGTGTGCAGATAACTCAGACGAAGAAAAAAGTCTTACATTTAAATTGTGACGAATACCAATCAGTATTATTCAATTTCGAGGCTTTTCCTACAAAACTAGATGAACATTCTCTCCAACTCAGTCATCTACTAACATCAAACGTTTCAAACTCTTATGAGAATTTAGAACGTAGCATCTTATCAAGCTCAATTGAGAGCGCAAAGTCATCAAACTCTACAAACAACAACCACGACAGCTGCTGCAACTGCTACGACAGTTTTGAATCTGGCTTCTGTCATTCAACCACAGCCTCGAGCGACGACAACACGGCAACTTCAACATCCACACCGACCAGGGCGTCCATTGTAAGCCAAGATGAGTACATCAACTATAAACCCCTACTCTTCTCGTCTTCGGAGTTGATTGACAATGACTTGGATGTGGACAACTTCAGTGAGAGAGGTGGAACAACTGGAGAGTTCAATTCATGCAGTGGCGACGAGTTGGTAAATGAACATCTGATCAAGAATGTAACAATAAAATGTCTCGATGAAGTTGATTGCGACCATCAACCTCACAAAACACCCGACAACGAATCTCCAATAGACACAAACTCTAAAGAAATAACATCAGATCTTCAATTTATAGAGACAAAATGTGACGACATGTTGTCACATTTTTCGATTTCAGATACCAAACGAGACGAAACAATAGCGAATCATCCGGCATATGATTTACCAACAAGCTCCAATACAACCAAAAACTCTTTAAATCTCAGTCCAACAGATCCAACAACAAAGAACGTAGAACACATTCCAAAAAATATTTCACATAATTTTAATTTTATTGATTTAAATTCAAACGAAAATAATAATATAACTTCTGCAGGCGCTGTAATTGAAACAGATGAATCATCAAACCATCACCAAACGACAGACAAGTTGCAATTACAAACTGACAGTGAATTCAATGAGACCCATCTTGAGAGGATGAAAAATGAGGAAGGTATCTTAATGAACGAGAGCTCAGCAATGTACTTGAACTGCCTGCTATCGTCTGCTTCCAATTTTCATCCTTCCGATGATCAGAAGTGCGCTAACTATAAATTAATTTTTGAACCAACTGATGCAGAGCATGAAGAGGAGGAGGAGGAGGATGATGAAAATGAAGAAGATGAAAATGATAATTATTGTGAAGAAGCAACGCCCGTTTTCACGAGTGAAGGTTTGGGTGAAAGCGAGGAGATCAGTGATATGCAGCCCCAGACTCGAGACTTGGAATCGTATCTCATCAGCGAACCGACCAACAATGTGGGACAGGTTTCACGAGTTAATCCGTACAACCTTTCTACAGAAACTCAACAAAATGTTTCTGATTTCACCAACAATTTGGATTCGTTGAAGTCTACAAAATCGCTCAACTTCACTGACGCTCTGAAGCAAACTTCTTGCAACGAGAGCAGTGACAAACTTCGCACAGGCGGCACCCCCGCTTTAGATTTTCAAAGATTTTATTCTAAAAGCACACCAAACATAAACTCTGACGTCGACAAGATGAAATCCTCGCTGACTCTCATTGAGGAGTACTTCAATAAATACATCATCGACTGCGAAACCAACGATGACGATGAAGAGGAAGTGAAGATTGATGGCGAGGGCAACGAGGGCTCCAATGTTGACCCCAACAGTAGCTGTGATTCATCGCCTCTTGATGCAGACACTTCTTCACAATCAAAATTAATTTCATCCAACAACGAAAGTAAAAGTAACCAGACGACTCACAATCAACCGATGGACACATTCTCAGAGATTTGTAAAAAATTTTCTTCGACGTGTCTTAATATCTTGCAAACATCTTACCCTTCCCTGCACACAACGGGGGACTCCTGTCCATCCATCAGTACGATGAGTTCAAGTCAACAAGAAAGCAACAGCAGCGACAGCCTGAAGAATAATTCGCAGTCGGCAGCCACCCTATCAGCCTTATACGCCGCTATATTTCCTGCGTTCGGTACTTCCGAAGACTCAGACGACCTTTCGAACTCTGCCTCTAATCATTTTCTTGTTAAGGAAACGTGTGTGGACGATCAAGTTCTCATTGGAAAACCTGAACTGGTGGACAAGAAACCGAACCCCGTGCGCAGATGTCTCTCGCTGAAAGTTCCAGAAAGTCCCTCGACGAAGGAAGTTCGTAAGAAGAAAAAGAAAGTAAAATTTGCGGATGCTTTTGGTTTAGAGTTGGCGATCGTTCGTTTGATTTTGAGCGGAGAAAATCTTTCTGATGAGGCATTTCAGCAAAGGTTTCAGGCTGCAACTGCCTCGTATCAAACCAATTTCAACAACCAAAATAACAACAACAATATCGTTGCCCACAAAACTTCAACGAATCGATCGAGCTGCTTGAAAGGCGCCGTCGACAGCACGTCAGCAAAAAGTGAGAACGTTCAATCTCAGTCAACTCCAGGCAAGAGAATAATCGCTGATTTTGTTCAACCTGGTAACAGTGAAGACTTCTCAACAAAAGTTTGGGTAAGTTGTGCTTCAAATATTTCACAGTAATAAAGGAAATCGAAAATTTTTATTTGAATTTAAAAAAATTTCCAAACACATTCAGTTACAGAACGTAGTGCTAGAAAGCTGCCTGGCAGAGAAGAAATCCAATTCGATTTCGGGCTGCATACGAGTGTACAACCTGACGTACAGGAAGGAGGTGATCGTTCGCTACACGATGAACAAGTGGGCGACATACAGCGAGCACAAAGCCTCCTACATATACGGATCCAACGACGGAAACTCCGACAGATTCTCCTTCCTCATCGCCCTGCCGCCTTATTTTGACGTTGGAAACACTTTCGAATTCGCCATCATCTATCGAACGAGTGACGGTAGAGAATTTTGGGACAACAACCACGGACGTAATTATACGATGACGTGTCAAAAATGTTAAATTGCATTTAATTTCTTTGTTTTTTTTTGTGTGTAAATAATTAAATTATAGTTGTGTCAACGATGATGATGTAACATTCTTCCTTCATAGTGTGTGTGATCTTTCGTTAATTTGCGACGACTTTTTCGTAAAGTTAATACTGTACAATTGTATAATACCATTCTATAAATAATCTGAAAGAAATATAAATAAACTAAAATATTTGATTTCATGAACGAAATCATCGTTACACACATTCGGCGTCCATTAAAGACCAATTTTCTTGTTATTTTATTTATTTTTAATTTGATTAAGGATGCGATTGATTGGTTGATTGATTTATTGATTGATTGATTAATTTTGATGGGTTGTTCAGTAGTTTATTCGCTTGAAACATACACTGCAGTTGTTTGATTGATCACTTGTTCGTATGTACCTTGTATTACACAAAACATAATTTATTTGTTAGTTAATTGTTAGTTTAATTCAAATTTGTAATTAAGTTTCTGACAGTTTTCAGTAAAAATGAAGTTTAACCAGATTAATACCGTGTGCTTATTACAGATTATTCAAAACCTGTGTACGTTACTTGCTGACATTTCTAGGCACCCCAGGCACTTCATTTTGGAACGACTTATTAAGCGCCCAAACATTTTTTCCATTTTCGAAACCATCTTACGGCTCGTGAATTTGAAGTTGAAAAAATGCCAAAAAAAATTATTCAACCGGTTTTATATTAGAATTACCAAGGAATAGCATGTAAAATGTTGCTCATATTTCTGTTTCACGTAATTAGTTTTTGCAATTTTAACTAAAAAAAGTCTTCCTAAAGTTTTGGAGCTAGTTTTTTCTGAAAGTTAGTTACTCTTTCTTTAGTCTTTAATTTTTAAATTAAAAGAAACTAAAAGTGAAACAAAACGTAAATCTCAAAATTCTGATAGGGCTGGTTCTCTATTTCTCTTCAACCATCAAAAATTAAAAAAGTAAGCATTTTTTATCTAGTCAGTGGGGCCCAATGTGTTCTTAGTTTAATATAAATTTATTTTATTTAATTAATCTGATAATGAATCTATGCTTAGTTTTATTTTATTTATTTTATTGTTAATTATTTCATTTTTTTATGATCATAACTTCATTTGAAATACACAAAAAGCCATGATGTATGTAATAATTATATGAAATTAAAAAATTATTAATATAAACAATAAAAACAACTAAATTTTTTCCTCTTTCTTACCAGCACTTATTTATCAGCAGTTGAAGTGAAAATATGGATGAGGAAAAGCCTGAGATCTACACCAGGATTTTGAGGAGTACGAAGCGACGAAAAACAGAAATTGACAATGACAATAGTGGTGAAGCTAGTCAAACTAAAGATAAAAGTATCTAAATTTTATTCAAATTTTAATTAAATTTTATTATAATTTATAATTTATTTAAATAAATTTAATTTTTATTAACTATTTTCCAAGAAGAAATTTTATTATTAAATTACTAGATTTAAGACTCTATGGGTGTTTTGACTAGTTTATTCACAAATTTTAAATATAAAAATAAGTACTATAAAAAATTATTATTATAATTTTAAACAAAAAAATAATTAAATCCCTGAAATTAACTACAAAATTATCATTTCGTCTGAATTAAAAAAATAATTATATCCTTTAAACTAATTACTACTACAAAAGTATCAAGTGGCATGAGCATTGTTGGGGACGACACATCCTTCCAGAAGTTTCCACAGCTATCCATAAACGTAACACCACTGGCAGAATTGCAAGACAGACTAGGCACACCGTCATCTTCATCGTTATTGAAAATAGCAGATGATGATGACAACGCCAGCAACGATACAGCACCAAAATTCAGACCCAAAACGATTTTCATTTTATAGGTCGATTCGCCCTAAATTAATTAGGACTAAAAAATCACTAGGAATTGGTACCACTTCGGCGACAGCAGCTGCTGATATAGCAAATTTAGGAATATTTGATGAGTTGAAAGAGAACAGCTGTGAGGAGGTAAGAATGGAAGATTTGTACAATATCTATTTAAATAAACTCTGGCAATCGCAGATACCAGTCAACAAAAAGTTGGAGACGATCTGGGAAGATGATGTCGAGGTAAAAAGACCAAAAAGAGCTGCTTATAGGTTCATCTCGTTCAAAAGTGTTGTCTCTAGGAAGAAAAATATGACGAGGAGGGCGAAGGCTATCAAAAATGGTTGGAAGGTTGTCACTCAGAAGCGATTGCTAGAGCTAGAAGAGGAATTGAAAAAGTTTATGGAGACTGATGTTTCTTGAGAGGATTTTGGATGTTTAAGTTTAGTTTAATTTAGTTTAAAATGTGAACTCTTACGACCTTAGGGTTAGAAATGTTTGCAAAAAGTAAATGGGTTTCTCTGTTTTTTGTTGAATAAATAAATATTCAACTGTGTGTACATTTCTTTGTGAATTATTATTCTTTCTAATGATGACTTGTGAATGAAGTGTTGAATGAATGAAATGAATACTCGTCAAAGTTTTCGAAATTTACAGATTATTATCATTGAAAATGACAAATTTATTATCATTTTGAGTTTAAATGTTCTTCTTTTTCGACTTTATTATTACTTTTTTAATCATTTAAATTTTGTAAAACTATTTTTGCAATTTGATAATAAAGCACGTTTATATTGTATAATGAATGTCTTTTATCTAATTTTCGTCACATCTCATAAATCTGGATTCCAATGGAAAGATGTGTTTGTAGATGCGTGTGTGTGTGTTTGTGTGTGTATGTGCGTGTAGTGTTTGCGTGTGCGTGCGTGCGATATTTCTCGTCCTAATTTCGCCATTTCAATTTCGTCCAGTCAGTTTGATTCAGAGAATATGTTGCATACCGTCGTCACCAATAATCCTACAAGTGAGTGAAGTAACTATTTCGCAAGGATGATGATGCTGATGCTGAGATGATGACGTAGATAGGAGAATGATGAGGAAGAAGATGATATGACGATGCAGAAAAAATTGTATACTTTACAATCTTCGTTATAAATTAATGAGAAGTGCCCGTTGTAAATATCATTCATATATTGTATATGTGTGTATATATAAATATGTTGTATATATACATAATTACGTATGTGCATACATACATACATGCATGTATGGTTTTAATGGGGTTTTAACTTGTTTTAACATGTCTATATACATATATACACATACATACATTGGTATATGCATACATACACAACACACATATACATACATATATACCATTGTATAAACTATTCTAAAAAGCTAAAAAATGTATGTGTGTGTGTGTGAAAATATGTGTATATATGTACTTATCTATGTATGAATGATGAATTAATGAATGAATGGATGGAAGTATGTTTGAATTCATGTACAAAATCTATCACTATAATTCTTCTTTCTCGAAATTGCTCTTATGTATATGTTATATGCATTGATATATATATATATATATATATATATAGTATAATATATATATACATATATATATATATAGTATAATATTATATATATATATATATATATATATAGTATTGATACTGGTAAATTATTGTTTCAGAATCATAAAAAATTTTGTATAATTTTAATGAATGAATGAATGAATGAACGAATAAGTAATTAAACGAATGAGTGAATTAATGAATGGATAGATGAATTAATGGATAAACGAATCAAAAACGGAACAACTGAACGAACGTATGAGTGAACAAACCAACAAACGAACGAACGAACATATAAAAGAATAAATAGATGAACGAAAGAATGAATGTACGAACGAATGAATGAATGAACAATGTATATGGATGTATGTTCCTTGTGCTACTTGTAAACAAAAACTGCTATCTAGTTGCTTTATTATAGTTAAAAAATCTACTAAACGTGCGCATAATAATGAATAATTAATCATAATAAATAACTATAATAATAATAATTAATAACTATAATAATAATTAATTGTAATTAATAATGTTGTTATGATATTTTTAATTATAGTAGGATACGTGTGGCATCAGAGTTGATGACTTAATTGATTTTAAAACTGGAATGAATAAATTAATAAATAATATGTCCAATATAATTTATAATAACAAATAATAATAAATATAATAATAATAAATAATAATAATTCAACACGGATAAAATCGCTAAATATTATTAACAATTATAGTTAGAATAATTCAGTAAAAATACTTGAACACAGTAATAGCAAAATAATAATAATAATTATAATTGTAATAATAAATATTATTATTATTAATAATTATAATTAGTAATAAAATATTAATATCTTCTTATATACTGTTTAAGTGCACGGATATAAATGCTACGTCTATTTGCATTGAAAATTATTCCGCGAAACATTTAACAAGGTAAACTTTAATTAAATGATTGATTGGTTGGTTGGCTGGTTGATTGATTGATTGGTTTGTTGATTGGTTGGTTGGTTGGCTGGTTGATTGATTGATTGATTGATTGATTATTGATTGATTATTGATTGATTGATTGATAATAACATAATCAGCATCTGCAACAACAGCAACAATAATAACATCATCATCATCTGCCACAACAACATCATCATCATCACCACATCGTCGTCGTCAGCTCGCTTACCAATAATCATATTGATGCCCTTCTCATGTTGAACAAAAATATTCTTTAACCCCATTATAAGATAACAACAACAACAATAATAACAACAAAAACAACAACAACAATAACAAAGAAACTACAGCAAAGAAACAACAATTAAGAAACAACAACAACGTACATTTGTTCGATTTAAAATGTTTTCGTTGTTTTTTTTATGAAATTCTTAAAAAAATGAGAAATGAATTGTCGAAGGAATGGGTAAATGAATGAGTGATTGAATGAATGAACGAACAAATGAATGAACGAACGAACGAATGAATGAATGAATGAATAAATGAATGAATGATGAAAGTATTGACGAAGTGTCATTGACAAATGTTTTTTCAATCCATCTGTCTGTTTGAAACCGGCCACTATGAATGGGAGTTAAACTTTCAATTATCATTTCACAAACAGTTTGTATGTGTGTGTGTGTTTGTTTGTGTGTGTGTGTGTGTCTGTGCTCTTTTGATTCAACAGATAAACACACACATAACTCTGACAAACTGACAAATATCTAAACATACAAATATATATATATATATATATATATATATATATATATATATATAGATAGATACAACAAAATACAATCATATACAAACATACAAATATATATGCAGCAAAATACAATCATACACAAACATACAAATATATATACAACAAATTACAATCATATACAAACATACAAATATATATAGGTACAACAAAATACAATCATATACAAACATACAAATATATATACAGCAAAATACAATCATACACAAACATACAAATATATATACAGCAAAATACAATCATATACAAACAAATACAAATGAAAAAAACGTACCTATCTCCATACTAACTTCTCCAACATCGCTCCTGGCCAGAATACTGACTGGCTACACACGTTCCAAAAATTCTTTTAGGTGCAAGTGTACCTAAAACAGAGTTAGCACGTGTCAACTTTCCAAGTAGCTGAGAGAAAAAATGGAGATCACACGTGATTAAAATCACACGACTGATTGACAGTTTGCATGTTTATCTGGAGTTTAATTCAATTTCAGGTATCGGATGAATGGGGATGGTTAAAAAATGGGTCGACTATGTCATCAATGTTGATAACAAGAAAGTTATCAATTAGTTCTTATAATTCTTATGGTTCTTATAATTCCAAGAAATGTACTTTTGTTTCTTGTATTGTATTTTTGTTTGTTTGTTTGTTTGTTTGTATGTATGTTTGTTTGTATGCTTGTTTGCATGTCTGTCTGTGTTTGTATGAGCATGTTTATTCTTGTTGGTAAAGGTTTACGTAGGTTTGTATGTGTGTGTTTATATTACATACGTTTATATGTGTGCATGGGCAGATGAGTGCAGGTGTAGTAGTAGCAGCAGCAGTTGTAGTAGCAGCCGTTGTAGTAGCAGCCGTAGCAGCAGTGGTAGAGGTTGAAATATCTTGAAGTGATATTGCATGATTTCGTAACCGTTAGCATTCTCGCTAATCCGATGTAAATGAATACAATGCTATCAATATATCGCTTTGTTACTTAGGATCGTTCAAACTATTGTTTATTCATTCATTCATTTCGTTCGTTCGTTCGTTCGTTCATTCATTCATTCATTCAAACATTCATTCATTCATCAATTCACAGATGAATCATTGACAACAGCATTTTTTGCATTCACACACACACACACACAATTTAAAAAAAAACATTTGTAATATGACAATTTTATTTGATGGCTTTGTTTGTTTTGTTTTTGTTTTTGCTTTTTTTGTTCTGGTTTGTTTGGACGGGCACCTTGCTTGGCGATAATTTCATAATAAAAAAAATCCTTATTCTTTGTTTATTCTCTGGTTTGTATTTTCATTTCTTTGTTTGTTTTTTCAATTCTTTGTTTTTTTACCTCTTTTTCGTTGTCATATTCTTTGGTAGTCGTCTGTGATGAACATGTCGTCGTCGTAATAAACTGATTTGTTTATTTCTCATCATCATCTCCATCATAGCTTTCATCAAACAACAACATTATCACCACCATCATCACCAACATCACCACCATCATCACCAACATCATCAACAACGACAACACCACCATCACCATCATCATTATAACCATCTCCACCATCATCATCGCCCTTAATTTTATCACCATCATCATTATAACCACCATCCTCATCACCATTAATTTCATCATTATAACCATCATCATCAGCAGCAGCAGCAACAGCAGCAACAGCAGCAACCCAGTAGTATAGATGTTGTCCAGATGCCAATCTACGACCCACAGGCCTACGAGCAGTTCAGGCGCGCGGCTACAGGGGGCCGACCCTCGATCCGAAGTTTGTCCATGGACGCCTGCCCCCTCCCTCCAGTTTCCATCAGAAGAGCCAGGTCACCGTCTATTCGAACGAGCACACAAACGCCCAGCCCTTCCCTGAAAAAGAAGAACAAAGTGGGCATGGTCAGCTGTCCGACCGGTATGGCGGGCGAGGAAGAGGCGAGTGGTAGCCGGTGGTTAAATAAAAAAATACCGCCACCGCTTCCGCGAATCGTTCGACAGCTGCGCGAGGAGGTTGTCGGTGTGTTCAGCGGCCGCAACAGGTCGCCTGACAGTCGCCACTCCACTGAGGATGAAGACAACAACAACAACAACAACCAGCAACGACATCAACAACAACAACAGCAACAGACAACTACGAACGAATCCTCAAGTCTGCATCCGCGAATCCGCGAGAGTAGGAAACGATTTATCGACGAAAGTAGCAGCAGTACAAACAGCAGCAGCAGCAGTGGCGACCATCACCACCACCATCAGCCACAAAATCAACACCACCACCATCATCATACTCGCCCGCAAGATCCGCAAGATTCATTCGGATCCTCCACCATGGATAGTATCTTGAATGAGGACTGTACCGACAAACTGCTCTACTACAGCTCCTACCGAGGTTGCAGCACACCACATTCGGATAATATCGGTCCCGGTACTCAATCAAATTTTCCAATAACAACACAAAACAATTGTTTTTTTAACACAAACCGATCCACAATATCCAGGCGAATACCGCCGATTCTAATCGAAAAAGAAGAAGACGACGACGATGACCGACATACCGGCAAAAATACCGACGATACTTTAATAGTGGAACATTCTAGAAGAAATAGTTTTGATAACCAACGCAAAGCTGATCTTGACTGTGATAATACAAAGACTTCATACTCCAATCTACACCTACAAAACGAAAGTGAAAGTGCAAAATCAAGTACCGATGCCGTCAGCACATCCCAGCAACATGTGACATTCGGCCTGGAATTCCCAAACGACGAAAAGTAATTAAGTGTTTGTCTTTGTGTGTGTGTGCGTGTGTGCATGTGCGTGTGTGTGTGCGTGTTGGTATTATTACGTCATTGTTCATATTATCTATACAATTTCACGACTGAGAAAGTTATTGATTAAGACTCCTAAATCATTTGAAATGAGTGAATCCACATGTGTGTATGTATATATATATATATATATATATATATATATATATATATATATACATATAAAATAAATATCCAACTGAATGCCGACATGTGCAATTAACGACAAATCAAAGTGTTAATCCATTTGTTACTTGATGTTTGACGGTTCAGTGTCACTCATCATGTTTTGGTTTTAACATACATATATACAAACAAACAAACAAACAAACAAACATTCAAAAACATACAAACACACATACAAACACACGTACAAACACACGTACATACGTAGGTACAAAGTAACATATTAGCAGTGGCAAAATTGAAAATTTCTAAATGAACTTCTACGTTCAATATGATTGCATGGCGATGATTGCTCGTGCCCCGTACTCTGACGTCACACCGAGACATACAAACATGCGAACATACAAACACAGACACACAGACAGAGAGACAGTCAGACAGATAGACAGACAGACAGACATGCAAACAGATTCAAATCAAACGAACGTGTGCGTTTTAAAAACCATACTTACTTTAAAACTAATAAAAAAGTAATAACGAGAGAGAGAGAAAGAGAAAGAGAGAGAGAGAGAGAGAACTAACAATAATATTTATTTATAATGAGCAGACAGGAATGAAAGAATGAGAAAATGGAAAAGAAAAAAGAAAAACACAGATGAATGCATGAAGATCTCTTAAGTAACTTTTAAAACAATTTCCATGCCCAGCACCGCTTGGTGCAACCAGCGTTCATGTTTGCTCGGTTCGTTCGTTCGTTCGTTCGTTTGTTCGTTCGTTTGTTTGTATGGTTCGTTCGTTTGTTTATTTTTACGTTCATTTGTTCGTTCGTTGGCTAGATGATTTTTTCATTATTGGCTTTGCAATCTGTTTAAGTAATTAGAGAGGAAGTTAACGAGTTGAAATCGTCTGAAAAAAAATGTTTTGTATGAATTGTATGTGTGCGTGCGTGCGTGTGTATGCGTGCGTGCGTGTGTGTGTGTGTGTGTGTGTGTGTGTGTTAAACAGTTGTTTCTGGCGTGTTTATTAAATTTTTAAAAAATATTTATAAGACACACACACACCCCAGAGAGAGAAAGAGAGGGAGAGAGAGAGAGAGAGAGAGAGAGAGAGAAGGAGAGAGATACCTTCACACAGACAGACAAACACACACACACAGACAGACAAACACACACATACAGACATACGTATAAATGAAAATGCCATCTCGAAATATTAACTGTTGAAATATTCCATTATGAACGATTGTTAAAAAAGGTATGGAGAAATTATTTTTGATTTATAGACACATTAATAATTTTTCCAAATATTTATAACTCAATATTATATCATGAAAAAAAACCATCATCAGGGTTTTTATTTTATAAAATCTAACTTATTTTTGAAAACGTTTTTGTGATGCTGTTTCATAAATAGGTATGCACTTGCTAGACAAAAAGAAAAGTTGTTTGGTGGGAATGTTTGTGTGTGTGCATGCGTGTGTGTGTACGGGCATGCGTGTGTATGTATGTGTGTGTCTGTGTGTTGTGTGTTTGTGTCTCTGTGTGTGTGTCTCTGTGTGTGTGGGTGCGTGTGTGTGCGTGTAGGGTTTAAGATAACGGTCAAACAACAGATCTTTTCCAAAAAACTTTGAAAAAATTCTTCGCGAGAATTTTCTTAGATTACTTCCATTCCTCTTTTGATTCAGTCGAAATGAGAAAAGAAAATGGGATCAACTCATTTTTAATCATCGTTCTATAAGAGGAAAAAAAACTAATTGACGAAAAAAACGGTGAAAAAAATAAAATGAATTATTTTTCTTGATACACACTCTCTCTCTCTCTCTCTCTCTCTCTCTCTTTTTCTCTCTTAATCCTTAACAGTAAGATGACAAAAAAGACACTGAAAAAATTAAAAACGAATTAATAACTCCTTCTCTCTGTTTTTCTCTCTTTCTTCTTTTTCAATTCCTATCTGTTTCACTCGTTATCTTTCTCTCTGTCTCTCTCTCTCTCTCTCTCTCTCTCTCTCTTTCTTTCTGTCTGTCTCTGGCTCTTGACAACAACAAAAAACTGTAGCTAACAGCATACAATGTCTATCTTTAACGCAGTCTGTATCAGACAAATTGAAATCTCTTTGAATGACGCGTCGTGAGGAGGATAGAGTTGATTTTTTTTCTCAAACCACTCACTTTATCAGCATTATCTCTATCTTTTGTTTTCCATTCTCTCTATTTCTCTCTTTCTTTCTTCTTCTGGTTTTCTTCTTCCAAGTTTAGCCACTATCTTGTAAGTAGGCGTGTGGCGTGTGTGTGTGGCGCGTGTGTGTGGCGTGCCTGTGGCGCGTGGTGTGTGTGTGGCGTGTGTTTGTGTGTATGGCGTGTGTGTGTGTGTGTGGCGCGTGGTGTGTGTGTGTGTGTGTGTGTGGCGTGCGTTCTATTGTACGTTGTGCTGTTATCGTCATTATATTCATGGAAATATAAAAATGAAAAATGGAACGTGACTAGAATATGTAAACAACACATACACACACACACACACAAACACACAATACACATACATACATAGCTATTATATCTGTGCAGACAAAACAAAAATACATTTACTAGAATGATGATAATAAAAACCATTATACATAGAGACATCACATACATACATACATACACATTCACTCGAACTGTTAGACGAACATTTTTCAGGAAATCACGAACGAATGGTTTCATGTTCTTGTTTACAGCAGCAACCAATGAAATTTAAACAATTTTGTTTATTTACGTTTATTTATCTATGTTTGTGTGTGTGTATGTATGTGTAATCACGTGCATGTATGTGTGTGTATGTATGCGCGAAAATATGTATGTATGCACGTGCAATCTGTGTGTAAATTTGTTTGTGCATGTAAACGTACGTATATGTTTATGTAGTAATGTGTGTGTGCGTGTGCATGTGCATGTGTGTATGTGTGTGTGTATGTGTATTTGAATGTTTTCCACAGAAACTTTGTTTTCAGACAAATGCGTTGTTTACATTGTGACTGAACAATATCTTCTTCTACTACTGCTACACACACACACACACAAACACACCACACACACACACACAAACACACACACAAGCATTTCTCTGATGCCTGTTTATTAGTTTGCATTATAAAAGAAATAAAATAAACACTCGTATAATAAACTCGCCATAAAATCAAATGGTTGTAGAGTAGAGGAGTTATACCACTGTCAGTATTAAATTTACTGTTTTAAAACAATTATATAATTTTTAACTGGGTGCTTCTAAACCGAAAGTAAGAAAGGTAGAAGAAAAATCATATGGCCACTTAAATAAAAACACTCCCCCTTTAAAATTATGCCCCCAACCATGGAAAGCACCTACACCCCCATAAAAACTTAAGCGGTATGGCGCAAGAACTACTCTAGATAATAAAGCCTATGTCTTTAAAAAAAAACTTCTTTTATATAATCTCAAACATTCATTCTCTTGTCGGAAACAGCTAATTTTTCATACTGAAGCAATAAATCTCTGCCTGTAAACATGCATGTATGTATGTGTGTGTATGTATGTGTGTATGTATGTGTGTGTGTATGTATGTATGTATGTGTATATGTATGTATGTGCATATATGTGTATGAATGAATGAATGCTTATATGTTATGTATGCATGTTGTCTGCAAATAATGTAAGTTTCTGATATGGTTTTCTCATCTAGTGTTAAATCATGTTAAACTATTGGCATTATGACAACGCTCAGCAATAATGAACACTCACCTCTCCTATCTATTTATTCACATTTTATGGATGAAACTTTTGAAAATGTTTGCAAAAATTCAACTGCAGATCTCACTCGTGTGACGAACGAAAGGAAGATTCAACGCGGCCCAACAACAAGCCGACGATGCTCCAGTCGAAATCTCTGCAGGAAGATGCCTCGGAACACCAGCACTTCCAACAACAACAACCCTCTCACGCCAACTCTCTTCAACACCTCCAGCGACAGCAGCAGCGCGATTTGCGACGACAGCAACGACGTCGCCGTTTTTCGTCAACGTCATCGTGGCTGTCCGGCATCCCGCAGACCACACCGGAAGATGACGTCATCGGATCCGAGAGGGTCATCATCAACGTAAGCGGAATGAGATTTGAAACTCAGTTGAAAACCCTGGAACAGTTTCCGGACACTCTACTCGGGGATGCTGCCAAACGAAGCGTCCATTTCGACTTTTCCAGGAATGAGTACTTCTTCGATCGGAACCGCCCAAGCTTTGACGCCATCTTGTATTACTACCAAAGTGGCGGTCGTCTGAGAAGGCCAGTGAACGTGCCACTGGATATTTTCATGGAGGAGATCAAATTCTACCAGCTGAGTGATGACGCCATAGCCCAGTACAAAGAAGATGAAGGTTTTGTGAAGGAGGAAGAGAAGCCGATGCCCGCAAATCAGTTTCAAAGAAAAGTTTGGCTGTTGTTTGAGTATCCAGAGAGTTCTTTAGCTGCTAGAATTATCGCCATCCTGTCTGTTATTGTTATTTTGTTGTCGATTGTCATTTTCTGTTTGGAAACTGTGCCGGGCCTGAAGCACACCACAATTAAAAATGTCACCTCGTTAAACGCGTCCAATCCGGATTTTGACGAGAAAGTAGAGATAGAAACGTTCACGGACACATTTTTCATCATTGAGACTTGCTGCATAGTTTGGTTCACCTTTGAAATTTCAGTTCGTTTTTTTGCATCACCCAATCATTTATTATTTTTTAAAAACATGATGAACCTTATAGACTTGCTGGCCATAGTTCCATATTTCATAACACTCGCCACCATGTTCGCAACCGAGCACAAGACGAGCAGCCAGGCGATGTCGCTTGCAATCTTAAGAGTCATAAGACTTGTGCGAGTCTTCCGAATATTCAAGTTGTCTCGACATTCTAAAGGCTTGCAAATACTCGGCCAGACGATCAGAGCCAGTATGCGTGAACTAGGCTTGCTTATATTTTTTCTCCTCATCTGTGTTATTCTTTTTTCAAGTGCAGTATTTTTCGCGGAAGCCGAAACTCCCGACACGCAATTTACTAGCATTCCTGACGCTTTCTGGTGGGCCGTTGTGACGATGACCACGGTTGGGTACGGAGACATGCGGCCCATAAGTCCATGGGGTAAATTAGTGGGGTCGCTGTGTGCCATCGCTGGCGTGCTGACCATCGCCCTGCCAGTGCCTGTGATTGTTTCCAACTTCAACTACTTCTACCATCGAGAAACAGACAACGAGGACAATCAGATCTACACGCACGTTCAAAGTTGTCCTAATTTTTCCGCCAGTGCATCGCGGTTGCCGTCGTCGAAGAAAAACAACAGCGCCGAAGAAGACGACCAAGAGAAGAAGCAGTTGATGTCGAAGGCAGACGAGGATCGAAGGAAGTCAATCGATCGATCGAGCACCAACACGGAGGACAGGTCACTACTTGGTGAGGAGGATTATCTTGACGACCAACAAACATCTAACAGCCGTCTGCACACAGCTTCTGCAACTGCTGCAGCAGACGATGAACACGGCTACCCGAACTTCACACGTGTCGCTACTGACACCGGACCCCTGTTGAGTGAATTTGCAAAAGATGCCGACTCAATTCAGCAACTGTATCGAAACAAATCCATGAACTTTCTGAGAAGCAAACGAGACAAAAAAATGTTGCCGCAAATTCTCGAGAAAGCGCCGAAGCACAACGAAGGAAACCAGTGCGCTCTGAACGCAATAAGGAGGACGGTGACGTGCGACGATGCGACGAGGACCGACAGGAACAAACTATCAACTCCGAGAACGCCTGACCTGCTGAACTCTCACCAAAACAGGAAGAACAGGCTGTCGCGATCGTACAGCAACTGCATCGATATAGAGAGCGATGAGCGAGACACCAGCAGCCACCAGAGCCACACGCCAACAAGCCAGAACGTCACACGCGGTGGCAGCAACGATTCTCCAGTGATGATCAAGATAGATAGCGACCTAGTTAGCTCCAATCAAGTATTAAAACCCGCCAGCAGCAGACGACCTTCCACTCTGCAGAGACAGAACAGTATTTACAATCACGTTCCTGAGATAGCTCAGATGGCTAGAATAAAACAATTCAAACCGTCCAACTCCATCGAAACATCGAATCCAGCTACATCTCCGAAGGAGTGCAGCGAACTTCTTATTTCTCCTCTCTCGCAGTCATCGACGGCAATTCCTTTGACCTACTTGTTACCGGGTTCAACTGCATCTCAATCCTCATCTATCCCGATATCCAGCAACTTACCTTCGTCGCCGTACCTTTCATCAGCCAGTAGTCAGAGCAGCACCGCGCCACGCCACAACACTCCAGCCACGGTGCCTGCTTCCAAGGTACGATTCTAATGCCATGTTAGAACATTGATTAATTTGTTATTGAGTTTTCGCATTTATTTCATTTATTTTATTTTCTTTTGTCTTATTTGTTGAAATAATTTTTAGATTTTTATCACTCGATTCGTTATGTAATCGTTACACTGCCAGTACAAGCTCCTCTCACGTGATAAAAAATACACAAACGCAGATAATATTTTAAATACAGATGAAATCAATTAATCCAAAATAATTTTAAATAAATTCGAACAAGGCTGCTAGCGTGTAACCATCGAATCGAATAATTTTTTTTCAAATCAACTGCATCTAGAGCCTGCTGCTAAGTTAAAAAAAATTTCTGTGACCTTTTAACACTCCATGAAAATGTCAATCATCTCTCTCTCTCTCTCTCTCCTTCTTTCTTATTTGCTCTCCCCCTCTATCTCTCTTTCCCGCACTCTCTCTTTCTCTCTCTTTCTCTCTTTCTCTCTTTCTCCCTCTGAAATTAATTAAAAACACCGAGACACTAGTGACACGATAGTTAGTAAGAAATAGAAAAATAGCCACTGGATGTTTCTAGCGAAAGATCTCAGAAGGAAGTTTGTTATTGCATCGATAAAAGGTGGTACATACGTGCACCTGATGTTATTATACCGACCGAGATTCGATCGCTAATATCGACTCCATTCGTGATGCAACAGTCTTCGAATGCACGCACACGCACGCACAGATAAACACCCACATACACACAAACACACACACGTACACACACACATACACAAACAACACACCCCTACCCTACCATGTTTTTTGAGAATAGCAGGGATGTTATAAATATAAGAGCGCAAGTAAAAAAAACAATACATCACGTGTTTGTTACACCACATTACATTACATTTGGTTACATTTGGTTACATTAGATTTTGTTACATTAACTCATATAATGTTACATCATCATGTTATAAGACCCAGTGTTCATTTTCTACTTATATCTATCTCATAACATCAATTAAATTAACATTAATTTGACGGATTGAGTGATTTTGTGTTGATGTTTTTCTTTTGTCTCTCTCTCTCTCTCTCTCTCTCCTCTTTCTATATCTTTTTTCTCTTACATTCTTTCTATCCCCCCCCCTCTCTCTCTCTCTCTCTCTCTCTCACTCTCTCTACTTCCTCTACTTCTTTTGTTTGTCTATTTTTTCAATTTATTTTTATCAGTATATCTTTTGTAATTGCCTTCTTTTACTTTTTCTATAATTGTTTTTCTCTTCTCTCTCTCTCTCTTTCTCTCTTCCTCTCTCTCTCTCTTTTTCATTTTTATCTTGTATGAAATGAACAAACAAACAACAACAACAAAGAGGCTGATGCAGTCTTAACATAATAATTTAGCTTCATAATATTAGTAAAAACTAATATGCTGCGTTTTTGTGTGTATCTGTGTGTGTGTTTGTGTGTGTGTTTGTGTTTGTGTGTGTTTATGTTTGTGTGTTCTCAAATCATTTTTAGCGTTTTGTTAGATTTATTCATGTTCATTGGTTATTAACAACAATTACGATTTTTTGTTATAAAGGTTAGAACTACTGAGATAATAATCTGATTTAAATCTATCATCATTGTAGTCGTCTTCATCATCATCATCGTCATCATCATCGTCTGAAGTTTCACCATACCGTAAATTATATTAACAATATCAAACATTATCATCACCACCAACATCATCATACACGCGTACACACACACACACACACATACAAACATACGTACAAGCATACATATACAAATACCTACAAACATACATACATACATACATGTACAATACGTACGAACATACAAAATATATACACACATAAAAGCAAAAAACAAAAGAGCATCTTGTTCAGCAGCAATTAAGCCGTTTTGTTTTCATGATGTATGTATGTATGTATGTGTGTATGTGTTTATGTATGTATGTATGTATGTATGTATGTATGTATGTATGTATGTGTGTATGTATGTGTGTATGTATGTATTATTGTGTTGACGTTATTTTCCATAATTTTTTTTAGCTAGAGGCTGTTGTGTTGTTATTTATTTGATTATTATTATTATTATTGTTGTTATTATTATTGTTATTATTATTATTATTATTATTGCAAGATTGTTTTTGTTATCTACTATCTCTTGTTTTCTATCTGTGTTCATTTCATTCATATGTTATTAAATAATTAAAGAAATGAATGAATGAATGAATGAGAGATAAAATTAATGAATATTTTCAAGAACAAGCATCATTGAGGAATATGAAAAAAATCGTATTATATGATACATATTTATACCCACACACACACACACACACACACACACACACACACACACACACACACACACACACACATACACACACGCACACACCACACACACACATACACAGACATACACACAAGAACAAACAACTGTTTTTTAAGTGTGCCTATATATACATGGTATAATTATATTTATATTATATAAATATGTGTATGTTGTATATACCTGATTAATATAATATTAAGCATACACTAATAATGTAACTGTTAAACTAGGTGTTATGTTAGAAGAAAATTTATTGGTTCGTAAATTATTATTGGTTCACACACGTGTTTGTTTGTTCGTCCGTTCGTTCGTAAATTCCTTAATTTTTATTTGTTTTTTCTATGATTAATTTATTCGATTTTTATTTTGTTTTGCATTTTTTTGGTTTAATTTTTGATTTAAATTTTAGTTTTTCAAGCATTACGTGAGAGTAGTAGTGATTTTGTATTCATCCAACCATCTGCCCATCCATCCATCCATCTGTCTATCCTTTTATTCATTTAGTTGTCTGTCTGTCGATCTATCTATCCATTTTTGCGTTTTTACATTCATCCGTACATCCATTCATATATCATCCATCTTTGTATCTATATCTATCTATTCATCCAATCATTCACCCATGTACCTCTCCGTCTCCGTATATCTATTTATCATTCATCCATGTATCTCTTCATCGATTCATGCATCCATCCATGTATTTATCCATCCATCAATCATTCAATCACCATTGCATAGTTCTTTGTTCATCATCATCATCATCACACGAGCTATCATCATCATCATCGTTATTGATAATTGATATTATTATTATTGTTGTTTTATTATTATTTATATTGTTCTATTCCATCTAACTTATGCTCTCTCTCTAATTTGATCCACTTCCTTTTACTTGTAAATAATAAGATAGATCTTTTTTATTTTAAATTAAAATTAAAATACTGGAATTTTTCATTTTTTTTTGAGAAAAAAAATTAATTCAAATATAAAATTAATTTTCAATAATAATTGAATCAACGTTGTTAATTATAAACCCATTGAATACGATCAAAATTATGTGTAGTGTATATAACTTTACCTACATAAGAACAAGCATGTTTGGTTTATTTTGAATGTATGTTTGTATGTATGTCTGTTTATCTATCTGTCTGTATGTGTATGTATTGATTTATATAGCGCACATATAAATAAACTTGGCATAACATAGAGAAATGAAGGATGTTTTATCGTTAAGAACATAAACAAACAATTCCTATGTATATAATTCTCCTGTGAAAATAAACATACAGCAAAAAAACAACAAAAAATGTGTTTGTTTGTATGTATGCATGTGAATATATATATATACTCACATACAAACATGTGTGTGTGTGTACGTATGTGTGTGTAATGTTACGATTGACTTGGGATTTACGATAATTTTTTCCGTGATTTTAATCCATTAGGTCAGATAAAGAGTTAATAGGCAGCATGGCAATAAAAATCATTTTTGGAACCAGTATGTATGTTTGTGTCTCACACACACACACACACACACACACACATACAACCAGCTATATAAAAAAGAAATTATTCCCAGCTTCAAAGCAAGGTTAAATAACCATCATTGGATAGGAACACAAAGACGCGCGTGCAATCGAACCCGGGAGGCGCCGGTTACCAACAAAAAATGCATGTAAGATAAATTGATTTTTAATGTTTAACAAGCATGCATACATACCCACGCATACATAAATATACACACATACATACATACTTACGTAACCTATCTACACACACACAAAAAAAATCAGGCACACTATAACAATTCCAAGGCATAAAAACAGTATATTCATGTATGAACACACACACACAACACACACATTCATACACACACACAAGTACACACACATATGTGCAGTACACTTTATATTTGTAACACAAACATTAGCCATAATTAAATTCCAGGGCAACGACTATGAATAGACGGATGGAAGGATGAATAGATGGATGAATAGATGGATGGAAGGAGATGGATAGAAAAAAATGGATAGGTAGTTCGTCTATCTTCGTCTGTTAGCGGATGGTTTTTGTGTCAATCACCTGCCACATACACCACCATCATCATCTTCACTTCTTCACTAACATTATTGTTGCTAATATTATTTTCACATTATTTCTCCACTCTCTCTCTCCCTTCCTCTCTCTCTCTCTATATATATATATATCTGTGTGTATTTACGTATATATATATATATATATATATATATATATATGTTTATCTATGTACCTATATATGTATATATATATATATATATATATATTATATGTGTGTGTGTGTGTGTGTGTGTTTGTGTGCATCTATGTAATTACATCACTCTCTCGTTTAGTTTTTTTTTTCATAATTTGTCAAAAAAATACTAAAAATTAACTTTCGAGAGAGCCGCAAAATGGTAATAACAAATGATCAATGACTCTAAAGGCGGTTGAACTGTCACAATTTTAAAAGTTCGCCATCGTAATAATTTTTTCATCCTCGTCATCATCTTCATTTCTTTTTTCTTTTTTGGAAACCGCGGTCACCACTCGCAATCGAACCTGGCGACGACAGCATTCTGAGCCGAGAGATCCTTCTGGACTTTGATTCTCATGTAGAAGATTGGACAATCTCGACTTGGCGATTAATCGAGTGATTAAATATTAATTAAAATTTATTATCAAGTAATTAATACACTAATTAACAAGCAGAACATTTCATGTTTAGTGAGCAGAAGAACACTCAGCCAATCAAATCAGCTAGCCAATCAATCAAACCAGCCAGCCAGCCAATCAAATCAATCGCCCAGCCATCCAACCAATCAAATCAATCAGCCAATCAAATTGATAGCAACCTAGTGCATAGAATTTCTTCATGTAAACTTCCCTGACATCTCTGACACTGGGTCCATAGACGTGAAAATTTTTCCTCCAAAGAATTAAAATAAGCAATCTCTTTTCGGTAGATGTCGGCTTCTGATGGTTTGCAATGTACGCAAACTGGACCTATACCTTATTTCATGAAGAATTTTTTTGTAAAGTTAAAAAAATTATGTAGCGTTTTGTTTGAGAAAACTTTTAAGAGAGAAGCAGAACACACGCCACACACACACAGACACACACACGCATACTAGATTGATCAAGCGGAGTTTTACACCCAATGCAAGTTTCTTTCTTCTGTGTAAAACCAGCCAGGCCACCAACTTTCGAAGCTACCAAAGTTTTTGTCTGCGTATGTTCACCCTCTGAAAAATAAAAAATACATACAAACATACATACTAACATACAAACATACTTACAAACATACAAACATTTATACAAAAAAACATACAAACATACATACTAATATACATACTAACATACCATACAAACATATATACTAACATACATACACACACACACACACACACACACACACACACACACACACACACACACACACACATACTCAACAATATGCTCTCGGCTTTTTTATCCCCAAGAATAGGTTCGAAGATCCTGAGCAAAGGATTGGATAGCTGGTTTTCAAGGTAGTACTGCGTGTCGATGGCTATGTTGTTTTCAAGGACGTATATTGGATCCTGCGTAGTAATCAGTATCGCTGTTATGGTTATCAACCAATCAGACAATGCCAGGCAGCCAATCACGCGCAACCAATCACACGCAACCAATTACACGCAACCAATCACACGCAACCAATCAACCAATTACACGCAACCAATCAACCAATTACACGCAACCAATCACACGCAACCAACCAGCCAATCTCACGCAACCAATCAACCTCAGATTTGAGATAGGCAGGCGTTCCTTTCGGTGCGGCGATAATGACGAACGGCACCCTATCTCCCAGCTGGGGCGCACTCCCCGGGTCTCGCTTTTTCATCCTTCGATGACGATGACGTCATTGTGGCGACGATGACGTAAAAATTATGATGACGTAAAAATTATGATGACGACGATTATGTAGAAGTTATGATTAATGAACGAAAGCCATCGTGAATGTAAAAAATGTCACTCTTTTTCTTACAAACACACAAGCTTGCAAAAAAAACAGGCAAGAGAGTGATAAAAAGGAGAGGAAGAAAGAAAGAAAGAGAGAAAGACACTAAAAAAGAGAGACAATCTCTTTCTCTCTCTCACTCACACACACATACAAACACAAACACGCACAAACAAACACACACACACCTATTAGCAAGTTCATTGTGAGCTTGTTTGCCGGCATACTCGTTGTCTTTCTTAGTGAGTTCCTTGGTGATGACAAGTTGTGAGATGTCGATCCTGTTACACAGCAAGTCTGATATCTTCTGCTTCGCATACTCAACAGCCTCCATTGGATCTCTGCAGAAATTTATAAATCATAATTTACACACAGACACACACACGCGCGCGCGCACGCAGAGCTAAAAAATTGTTAAGAATCTATTGCACAAACAAGTTTATAAGACTAGCAAAAAAGAGGTGATTAATAACAGCTATACACATATACATACATAAGCACACACACAAATACGGACACACACACAAACACACACACACACATACCCACAAACAAACACACACACACAACAAACTTGTTAATGAGAATTTTCTGTAGGCACGAGTTAATAAGGTTGGCAACTAGTGGGCAATTATCTCTTCTGACAGTTTCAATGCCTGAATTGTGTTGGGAAAATTAAAGGAATGAAAAAACACACACACACACGCACACGCACAATCAATACAACACACACACATACATACCAACATTACACACGATTCCACACATACACAAACTACACACAAACACATACATAACGAATAAATAATAGCAATCACCTTTGCAATCCATTTTGTCGTATGTATCAGGTTTTGTGTAGTACAATCCAGCGTATCTCTTCTTGTTGATGAGAAGGTACGGGTAATATACCTGCAATGGTATTTTGTATGTATTGTGTATGTGTGTAATGTTTGTGTATGTTTGCATGTATGCAATGTTTGTGTGTACGTATGTGATGCGTGTGTGTGTGTGTGTGCGTGTGTGTGTATTGTACGTGCATCGTGTAATGTATGTATGTGTGTTTTGTGTGGTATGTGTGTATTGTGTGTTTTTAATAATAAATATGTGTTTTGAGTGTATTGTATGTAAGATATAAAGAATGATATTAGTGTGTTTTTAACTAATAAATATGTGTTTTGAGTGTATTGTTCAAATTGTACACCAAAGAAAGCGCTTCTGAGGTCTTTCGAGAGAGGCGCTATACAAGTTCTGATACTGATTAATTGTAAAATATGGAGAATCAAAGATACAAAATAAGATGCAGACAGTACGGAGGCTCAGTTCGGCCCGAACCTTTTCAAATTCCAATTTGATGGGGTCGTCAAACTTTATCGATATCTTCTCAGCTGCCTCCCTGCCCAGTTGCATCGCTTCTGCAACCGTCTGCACTCCAAAATGGCACATCACTGAATCAGTATCCCCATAAATCACCTGTCAATCGTTGAGAGATAGAACAGTTTAAAAGTGAATTATCATTGAAATGAGATACCATAAAGATGGCGTCAATAATGACGTTGTTATTTGGCTTTCCATACTGCTGACCTTGGCGTCGTGCGAATATCCATTCGATTTCGTGAACATCTCCTCCACGTGCTGCTTCGTTTTCTCGATCATCATGCGGCCGAACGCTGAGACACTCTGTGGTGGGGGGCGGTGTGGGAGTTGCTTGTGGTTAGGGAAGTTCATATTTGTTTGGAACTGCCTTAATTGAAATAACTCTGTCAATGACTCTCTGTCTCTCTCTCTTCTCTCTATCTCTTTCTCTCTCATCAACCATGTATAGATTTGTCATTCTTTCAACTTTATCCTGACTTTCTTCTCTCTCTCTCTCTCTTTCTCTCAGTACTACTTCTCTCTCTCTCTTTCTCTCTCTTTCTCTCAGTACTACTAGTAACCAACCTGTGAGAGATCCAGACATGGCAGCATTCCTACTTGAGCCCCTGTGAAGCCATAGACGCTGTTGGCGCTAATCTTGAGGGCAAGCTGTCTGCCATCCAACACCTGGCGTCTGAAGGAATCCGACTCGTTCTTCAAGTCGGTCTTTGCTCTGATTAGTCGACGTTTTGAAGGTGATGATGATCATGTTGGTGATGGTGGTAATGATGATTATGATTATGGGGTGATGATGGTAATGATGATGATTACGGGGTGATGATGGTGATGTGTGGTGATGGTTGCAGGGGAAAATAAATTTAAAAGAACTTTTTTCTAGCAGCCAGTAAGTTTTCCAAAATTTCAGGCAAGAGACCTTTGATGACGGATTTTTTAGCGAAATAATTGCCAGATGGCGTTTTTATGTACTGATCTGGGGTCAACCTAAATAGGGGAAAAAAGATTTATACAATCATTCATTTTCGAATTCATCCACTCACTCCAAATCATAATCTTCCTGCTGAATGTAATAATTAATTCATCTATTTTAATATTTTATCCATTCATTCACTCATTCATTCACTCATTCATTCACTCTCATTCATTGATTTTCTCATTCACTCCATCTAACCCTTCACGCTGGATGATCGACTGATTGAGTAGTGTGGTGTAGCAGAGGTTGTGAGCCATCATGATGGAAGGATACAAGGAAGAAAAATCGAGTGTTGCTATTGGTTCCTTGTAATATCTTAAATTTATATTAGTAAATTTTATTTGGACCTAAGATTCGAACAAGTGTTGTTGATATTCAGCTTTTATTAAATAATGTTTGCATTAACAGGGTTGAATCTACAAAGTTTTTAGGTGTCATTATCTCTAGCAATTTATCCTGGACTAGTCACATTCGATTCATTTCACAAAAGGCTACAAAAAATTTAGGAATACTTTACCGACTGAGATCAAGGTTTCCAAGACATATTTTAATAACACTATATAATTCTATTGTTTTGCCATTTTTCACCTATTGTATTTCTATTTGGGGTTTTACAACAAAATCTAACGTTCGTATGTTGAATCTTTGTCAAAATTATTTTATTCGTATTTTGTTTGGGTTACCAAAATTTGAGCATATCAGTCATTTGTTTATATCATCTGGAATTCTAAAAGTTTACCAGTTACACATTCTTTTCACGTTAATGTTTTTTTATAAATTATTTAAACTAAATTTTTGTCCTTCCTTGTGCCACCAATTAAATCATTTAAACAATAATCGATCAATATTTTTAAGACATAATATAGATTTTTATTTTCCTAAACCTCGTACTAACTTTTTTATTAATTCCGTCTTTCATGTCTCTTGTCGACTTTGGGACTTATTACCAATTCACGTAAAAAATTTGAATACTGCTGGTTTATTTAAAAATTCAGTTTATCAATTAATCTTAACGAATCA